CTGAAAAAGGGGGAGGACGCAATCGAGAAGATTGAGGGCAAAGGCCGCGGGGAATTCATCCAGTTCGTGGTCCTTACAGTAAATCTAGATAGGATCATAGTGTGCATACTGGACATGTTCACTGGAGATATCTCCAGATTGGCCAAAGCAATTCAAGAGATTGCTGATAAACTGGCCTGTCCGAAAGAGGCGTCAATGAGGGAACTTGTCTCGAAAATTAAAACACGGTTCCAACTTGACAACAACTAACAATTTATTGAATCAAGTCGAGCGACAAGTTGTACCTTCGAACGTCTTCGTACATTTTATGTAAGAAATGGTTCTCATCATACAATTTGGTAGGAGCGGATCCATACATCGGACAGGAAGGGCGATATAAAAATGTAGTCGTGTTGTGAAGTTATAATGACAATGTTTGCCTCAAAAATATCCGAGTTGTTGACTATGGATATCACGCGGTGATGCAGTCTAAAAATACTGTGTCAGTAAATTCCAGGTCATACTTGAACATGTCACTTGTCTGGATCAAAATAACACTTCTGATCAAAATGACCGGAAAATGACCAGGACAAGTGTCATTTTGACCCGGAAATGTGTCATTTAGTTGGACCCAGAGAAGGGTCATTTTGACCTGGAGAAGGGTCATTTTGACCTGGAGAAGTGTCATTTTGACCCGGAGACGAATCATTTAATTTGAACTTAAGAAGTGTCATTTTGACCCAGAGACTCGTCGTTTAATTTTACTCGGAGAAGTGTCATTTTGACCAAGGGGAGTGTCATTTTGACCCGGAGGCGCGTCATTTTGTTTGACTCAGAGAAGTGTCGTTTCGACCCGAAGAAGTGTCATTTAATTTGACTCGGAGAAGTGTCGTTTTGACCTGGAAAAGTTTCATTTAATTTGACTCAGAGAAGTGTCGTTTCGACCCGAAAAAAATGTCATTTAATTTGACTTGGAGAAGTGTCATTTTGACCCGGAAAATTGCCAGGGTCAACCGTCAAATATGACCGTTCCGGGTCGGATTTGATCCTAGAATTTCTAGAGTGTACACCGCGGTACCTAGCCTTTGCCCGATAAACCTTCTCCAAAGCAAGTTTTCATTTTGTCTTAAACTCGGTCACATAAAATATATTGGTGGCTTTTAAAAATATTATTTGTTACATTTCTTTACCCAGGGTGTGCCCAAACAATTAAAAACTGGTTTCCATTGGGGCCCTGCATACATACCAATATTTATACACACATGTACACATACAATACATTACAAATACAATATATCACATGTGAATTAAAATAAAAGCATATTAGATTACTGCATGATTGTAAAGCAACTATATTATAAATAATTGAAATTAAGAATTGAGTTCGACGATGTTCTGGGACGAAAAAAATGTGTCGTTTTGAGGATTTTTGTGTGATGTAAGTGTAAAAATAACCGAGGAAAATTCATAATAACAAAATGTATAACAATGTAGAGGTGTATATGCTAAAGACACGCCCTTCTGGCACTACTTTACTTAAATGAGATTTTAAGTGAGGTTTCACCGTTTCAGTTAGTTTGCGTTCTCAATTTTTAGTCTTCCTCCAAATTGTATAGCGTATTCTTAATTGGAGATTATTAATTTTTTTTCCATAAGTAGATTAGTTAATTTTCGTAGTCGCCATTATACGTCACATCATGGCTGACAGAATGTGTTGTATGTATACCTGATCAAGAGATTTTAAAAAGTTAGCATTTGTAATATACCTAATTATACGTCAATTCAGTGTCGTTATGTTGTGTGCGTGGGTACTGCAATGGACCGATCCAGTAAGCCCCTCCCACTGCGCACGTGGGCAAAATAACACGTGCTCCAATCCAATGCCACACCGCATTTTCCTGCCGCGCGCATCATACGCGCGTGCACGCATGTCGGACTTTTGTGCACGCATCATGTCGGACATAAATCACAGATCAGAAAAAAGTTCAGTGTTCTCTCAACAATACCAAAACAAATCCCATAAGGAACTTTAAAACGGTGGTTGCGTTTACAATTCCGTAACTTGAAAAGTACATAAGTGATTTGAATGATTCTTGTACTAAAAGAAAGCTTATGAGTTGGGCTTTCATATCCTAGATTTTGAAAGTGTTACATGCAGAGCTTCACTTAAACAATCGTCCCGACATTTGAGTTTCTTTTTTTTACTCACCCTGTACCCATAAAGGAAAGAGAGGAGCTGGTATACCCTTAATGCCCAGCCAAAGGCCCTCTATATAATAGTATATACACCAATGAGTTCGCCGAGCATCACATGAAATAATAATACTTGCAGAGTTGCAAATGTATTATTCTAAAACATCATGCTCAAAACAAATAGTGAAGCGTGGATTATTTTCTTATTATGGGGTCGTACGCACTATGGTGCCTACAAATTTGCGGGGTTGTTATTAAAAAGGGTCCAGACCCATGGTAAAACTCGTAAAACTTGTTGAAGAGATGCCTTTTTAATCGTACCAGTACCGTAAATAACTTCATTGGTATTTAATCATCCCGTGAAAGGCTTAAGTATAGAGACAAATCGACAAAATCCGAAGCCAGCCAAGTAATTTATGGCGTTGAGATTTTCGTAGTGCACTAATGTCATAAGCGGAACCGTGTACATGTTTTCCACATTTTTATGTTAATGATACTCAGTGCTTTTATATCGTACGAAATTGACGGCTAGTTTGAGCCTTATAACTAACCGATGGGTGTCGCTATGTATACATACGTACTTACGTGCATTGAAAATACATGTACACATAACTGACATTTTAAGGATAGTTTTGTGGATGTTTATATCCTACCTTCAAATGCTCTTTCAGATTAATATCATTTCGTTTAACCCTAAAAGGCCGGGTTATTTTGACCATCTCTTAGCCGGGGGGGGGGGGGGCGCCCCCAATATCTCGGTTATCGAGTGACGAAAAGTTTTGATACTCGGTACATGCATAGAATAACTTATCATAAACATAACCAAGCAATTTCATGACTATAGGTTGAAGGGTTTTGGAATTATGGCTAATAATCATATGCGCGACTGAATGGTGATTCGCCTCTGAATACACTACGTATATGGGAAATTCAGTTTTCACGGTGCGTATACGTAGCGCCGAAAATTTGTCGTTGCGCGGTAACCCGTGGTCCAATTTTTATGTTTTTGGTATGAAAAGATGCGCAAGGCTTGAGACTAAAAAATTAAAACAGCTCTGGTTGCGAAAAATCTTTCTCGAGGCTATCGCGGAAAAGAGGGGCGGGGTGGATTTCGCCCCGGCCCCTTTAGGGTTTAAACGCGTTTTGTGGCCCAATTTGGGGTATTCCAGGACGCAGTGTCCCAGTAACCTGTTGCAAAATTTGTATCGAAAATTTAATATTAAACTCTTCAGTGTTTAGAGTGTGGGTGCCATTTGTTTTTTATTAGTGAAGTTCTGCACGTAGCAATTTTATAATCTAGGATATGAAAGCCCCCTTCATAAGCTCTCTTTTAGTACAAGAATCATACACGTTTCTCATGTACTTTACAAACGCAAACACCGTTTTTAACTTCTGCAGTCCGCGGATCACATAAAAGGTAGGTGTTCTTTCAGCAAAACGAAGACAATTCACATAGGGATATACTGTCGCCGGTCTGTCATGCAAGCTTAAGCAGTGATGCGGTCATAATGGTTATTATCAGTTAAAGGCCGTGCCTTTTGAACAACTAAGCTTCTGGATAGCCTCTTAACCCCTTAAGCACGGGTTATAATGGGGACATTTCTCCACACATAGAGCAAGTGGCCCGCATGACTGCACAGCCTTTGTGTGGTAGCGGGACTGCACAAAAGCAGCAGCTGTGGAACTACCCACTAGCCGTGTGCCACGGCATACCACAGCTGGCAACTGCATTCCAATGAGGATTAGCGGCCGCGGCCATGACCGCTTCCCGGGCCCTTAAATCAGCTTAAGGATTAGAGCTGATTTTCGCTCGTCCTTGAAAGTTGTCTTGGAAAAGAGAGACGCAACTACTCGAAAAGGAAGCATAAATGCAGAAGCGTCTCCATATCGTTTTGACGGGGGGGGGGGGGGATTACGACCCTACTCTAGAGGCGTATGGAGCGTCTTAAAAATCTTTTTTTTTTAAGCACGCCGTCAAAATGCAACCAGGGCATTGCAAAATGCCCCCCATACGCCACTGAAGACGTGAGACAGGTAAACACCTGAAAACTTCAAACACATGAGACAGACAGTGACGTCATCATGTTTGTTGACGCGCATAACATTCGTTTTTATCATACAGTCGACTCTCGTTAGTACAAACTCTGTTAATACAAAATTATAATATAACAAACATAAAACCTTGCTCCCGACTGTGCATGTATGTGCACAGTGAATGGGACTGATGTTCCTCTTAGTACAAAGTTCTGATATAACAAACAATTGATGCTAGAACAAGAAACTGGTAAAAGAATTGTGAGTTTTCGCCCGATACCAAAAAAAAGTCAGTCAAGAAACTTGGATATGTTTAGTACTTTTCGTTTAAATTGGAAAAATAGGCTTGGCTACGTGCATTTGTAAAAGTTGTATCACCGGTATTTGCAATATCTGTCAATCTTGTCAAGCCTCATCAATATTAATAAGGCTCCTATCCATTATGCTGTGCAGTAAAAAATTGCAGAATAGCCTCCTTCGCGAGTTATCAATTAATAAATATCACCCTTTTTGCCAGCTTCCATTGGTCGATACCGAGACCCACGTGAAGTTATGTCGAGTGACACTAATGAACATATACTAATCCGCACTTCGTCATTGTTTCCCCAAAATTAGCCGACCTGAAAACTATGCTCCTGAGCTAGTTCGGTCAGCAAACTAATCCTCGTCAAAATTTACCTCGGAGACAGTTCAAGGTGTAACAAGCATTTGCAGCTACAGATACAGCTGAAATTCGGAATATACTTAGTTGATACAAATGTTCAACTACTAGTGAACTAACAACTTGAGGAGATTCTTAGAAATTGAGATTAATATATAGATTTGGGGACGTTTTCGAATGATTTCTTCCCGACTATAAGGTCAGTTTTACCAGTGACCAGTATTGATGTTTCAGAATCAATGACGGCGATTTTTCACAAACGTGAAGTTTAGAATATCTTCTTCCGTTATAATTTGACCTTTCAATCATACTGAGCATGTTTTTCGAGAAACACAACGCAAAGAAAGCCATGTTTTTTGGAATGCATGAATTTCACTGCTCTGTTATAATGGATTTAGCGTCTATTCGTAATCGAATAAACTTTGTTCAACAAGGGCGACGCTTAGGCCTTTGCAATAACAAGGGCTCAATATTTCTCATTCACAATCACATGTAGGCCCAATGCAACCCCGTCCCCCAGTGCATACAGTGCATACATTGGAAGTTAGGTATAATCTTAAATTTTGGAACTTGCGAAGAGAAATAAAAGCAAGTTATTTTACGATAAATTCCAATCTGCTTCAATTAATAATACAAAGTGTGTAATTAAACCTTCACTAATGTTTAAAGCCGTATTTCAAAAAGAAATGACATTAAAATAAGGCTGCATTGTGCCTGCAAAATAGTCTTGCGCCATCCCATTCAACAGTTAACAATATAATGATATACATTCAGGGAACTCAACAAAAATGGCCGACTTCGTGAATAAGGCTCATAGTGTAATAAAACGTTACGAATTACTAGATTTATGATGAAAGGAAAGAATGCCAAAGCTGATAAAAACGCAGGTGGTTTGGTACAAGAAATTTAGTGGAAGAACGAGCCCCGGAGAATATCAGTGACGATAAGTATATGAATACCTAATGTAAGAATCTAAGGCTGTTGATAGAAAAATCCCAAAACTCATAAAACAAAACTCAAGAAATCCCATTCAAATGCATGGTCGGTTCCTGGTCCAATAGTCGGTTTCTTTACGGCTGCGGTGTAGTCTGTGTCATTACTCCAGGCACACCCCAGTTATGACTGCATCCGAGTCTTCTCCTCCAAGCACGATGTTTTGGATGGTCAACGTAAAAACCTTTCTCTTGTATTTGAACTTCTTGGAGTATGGAAGCAATTCGGACAGATCGGACGCTTGGTTTAAATAAAGAAAACAAAATTAGTATGAAAACTGTGCTAATATTTTTCTGTCAGATAACATCACTTAGCAATGCAAACAAAGGGGAACTTTCAGACTGCGCCTCCTGAGAATACCAAGACAAACCAGTTTTGCCGCCTCCAGAATAAGAATCCCTAGTTCCACACCCCTCAAGAGGACCCTGCTTATACGCCACTGAATTAAGAAATGTGAGCGTAAATTATTAGTTCTTCATTACAAACAAAATACAGGAAAGTTAAAGACTGAGCATGAGCTAGATTTTCACCTGATTTTGTCAGCTTTTCTCGCTCGTATTAGTTCATACACTGATTGACATTTAGTTAATGAGCATACACAGCAAAAAGCATAACATCAATTATTTTGTGGGATCGAGAGCAGAGATAGGGGACGGCAAAAATCCTGGAAGACAGGTTGATCCTCCAATAAGCTTGTGTACTTATGACGTCATACTTTGTTGAAGTGTGTGTTTTGCTTTGATGCTCAGTGGACCGTGAGCCCCACCTGGCTCCATAGGAAAGTGCACATTGTAAACAAAGTGTGGCGCTGTGAACTTACGCCACGTTCTGCGTACCACCAGTGACGCAAAAGTAGGGCATTTGAGTTGGGTAGATACGGATGCAGACCACAAGTAAAATAGGCCCAAAATTGCACCAATAGGCCCTAATTCCACTGCTTTCGGAACTCTCTTGAATAATTTGAGTGTGAAGGCCTAACTTCGGTGCGCAGATTTTCGGCATATGGGTTGGACTTTTTATGAAAACATCACGTTTCTTAGCCCATTTGAGATATGGCCGATACAGTTGAAGGACGCTGTTTGGGTTGGTGTAATACAGAAGACTTTATCGAATAACACCCTCTTATTGTGCCTGCTAAATCTCAAATTTTATGTGCAGCATCGTCAATGGATCATGATTATTCAGCTAGTTCGGTGTTTATTCACAAGAAATTGCTATTATTCACACTATTGCTATCACTCAGTCATGCATGTACATTAAAGCATTTCAACGAACGACTCTCGTTGAGCTGCCACAGTGGCCTAGTGGATAGTGGAGTGAACTACAGCCTGTCTCAAAAAAAAATATGGTACAATCAAAAACGATTTTTTTTTTCAATATTAAATCTCAACATAAGTAAGTCGTTTTGAGCATCACATTAAAGAAAAAAGACCAGGCTCTCCAATACTTTTTGTTTCATCTCATTTGCTTTTGTCAATCCAGAGATAACTCCAGTTTACTGCGGAACACAAAAATCGAGTTTGTTTCTTTTGCCAAGTTGCAACCTTTTGTGAGCTTCAAGACAGCATGGCACAGTACTCGAAACAACTCTGTCCATGCATAAAAGTGGCACAAACAAACACTATTGGAAAGCCCAGTCTTTGTTCTTTAATATTATGTCAAGTAAGAATGACTTATTTTGAAATTTTATATTTAACCAATTTTGAACCAACTTTATCTTTTGACATAAGAGCGGGTTCGCTCGCAGTCCTTTATACCAAAAATTGCTTGTGACAGATGAATGACTTCTTGAGTCATTTGCGTTCATTCGTGTGTTATTCGAGTAATTCCAGTGAAAATTCACATCTTCCTAGTTGAACACAATACGTACGCTTTCATCGATGAGAAAAATGCATTCAAATGAAATCCGCGTTAAACATGCATTGCTAACGTTTAATGGAATGCAACACGTTCTTTGTGTGTTTAATTTAGTTCCGGACAAGGTGGTAACGTTGTGATCAGTGCGGTTTCACTTCTACTGTCACCTTATGGTTGCCGTTACCGTGTGAAAGCGATTGAAAAAAAAAGCCAAGTCTGAAAGAGCGCCCCCATTTGTCAGATATATGAGCTATAGTTTACCTTTCAGTTCTTCGTCGATGAGGATTTCCATGTCATAGTCGTTCTTGTAGTATTCAAGTGAAACATACAACCCACCGATGGGCGAGTAGTCGATAAACACGTCTAAACGTTAGAAACAAATGAGTCGACATCGATACTAGTTCAATGGATATCACACTCTCCCCAAAAAGAATTGTGCTGCATGATTTGCTAATAATGAAAAGAAAACAGAACCCCATTTAAGAATACACCCACCAAGCCGCTTTCCCGTACAGGGTGAGTCAAAAAGAAAGTAATCGAATTTGAAAAATATTTTTCAACATATTTGACTCGCTTAATTTCATTAGAAAATATACAAATAAAATACATCATTTGGCTTTTAACTGTGCAAAGCCTACTATTGTAATGTGCATAGAATACTATTGGCTATTTCATTAAAACTCGGATGTCCGCCACTGATCATTTACCGTTTTACGAATTGAGCACAGAGGGAGTCAAAACGAAAGTGACCCAGATTAATGATTTTTTTTTCTTGAAAAGCAATCGAATTTGATACATATGTTCGTGCACTCATTTGAAAAAGAGAATAATATTTGTACAAATGTATATTATTTTAGAATATTATTTGTATTTAAATGCTCGTGTGTAATCTGTAATTCTCACTCAGCTCAATAGCTACCAATGGCATTTCATGGACAGCAATAACATGGGTTATTTTAGTTATTCAACATTCATAAGTTGTGATAGCACGGATCAATTTCAGTTCTTCTTTTTTTCCAGTGAGTGGAAGAACATCTCTATAAAGACATGCTTGATTGGTGTATCATATTAAATTGCCTACTCATACAAAAACCTTGAATTCAGGTTACTTTCCTTTTGATTCACCCTGCACACCAGTAATTCCTTACCTATATCTTTTCCAATTAGAACAAAACAACCAACATCCCAACACTCGAAATCCTTCTCTTTACCGCAAGCTGAAAAAAAGATGAAAAGTAACCATCAAAATCAGATACGCCCTCAACGGTCACTATATAAACACCTGCCTTCACAGTCCACTAAACTTTGGTATGCAACCTTGTATTAAAATTCCCAAAGACACTGGTGCTAAATGCCCCTACTTCAAACTTCTTTTATAAATACTCAGAACTCTCACAGGTATTAAGCTGCTCAGAAAATGATGATTGACATGTCATCTAGCTTTCATTTTCTTTTCATTTTTCTTGGCGTTGACCATTAACTTTTCGAGATATTCTCACCCACAGAAGACGATCACTATTTTCTAAAGTTGAAAAGTAGCCATCTTTAAAAAACGATCCCTCCACGACATGGCAAAATAGCGCCACTTTCGAGCCCAATTGTATCCAAAATGCTCAGAATTGGAATCCCAAGTCTGGGCCAGAGGTTCATTGCCATGTCTTTTCAATTCCCCAATTTTATGGCTCTCAGAACTCTCTGATATACACTATTTTGAGGGTAAAACTTTTATTCATGAGTTTGGCGAAAGGATTTGGGCCCATTTACCGGTATGCAGCCTCAGCATCTACAACGTGAACTACTACATTAGCAACAGTCGTCAGTCTCCTTATGACTAGCTTGTGGAAACATCGAGTTAAACCAACTGGTTCTTCTTAGAATCATGCAGTTCACAAAGAGATATCATTCAAATGGTGCAAACCTCCGATTCATTGAGCATGCCCATCATCTTCACCCATTCATTGAGCATGTCCATCATCTTCAAATTTCATAAGTACCATGATTAATTGCACACTAGTCCGAAAATTTGGATCTGTTAGTATTGTGTATCAGAGTCCCAAAACTTAAGTAATAGAAAACATGCAATACAAGAAAGTAGACTGACACCTGAAACAACCAGTCCTGTCCAACAACTCTTTAGTACTTCATCAATCAACTGTCAGGTAACTGCGCCAACAGAAATATCAAGGATGTCGGGTACTACATGTAGATCACTATTTCTACACATTCCTCCAAATCAGGCACCAGACTAATCACAATAAATGAAATAGTTAGGCTTTTCAAACAGTTGGACCATGGATAGACATGTACAAGTCTAGTCTTCAGCCTCATTGTGAAATCACTTGAATTCCCGCTCATGTGCAAGCCACTGCCAAATATTGAAGAAAAGTCCCCTTTTAAAGTTGAATACTGAGGTGCTTCCCTTTGTCCAATGAAAATTGGGGAAATTTGCTGGCTAAAAAGTGAGTAAAGTTGGCCTGATCTTCTTTTGCATCGTTTTGAGCACTTAAGGTCCCAGTCTGATTGCACACCTTCACTTTGTAGTAGACCAGCCTAATGTGGAAAAGTTCTCTAGTAAATAACTTCACGGTATTTTTGGGTAATAGCTTCTATGGAATTAGTGTTGAGTTGCGGGCCCTTCCTTCTATTGTCTATGTTGTGACAAACACTATACACTGTAAATGGAGTAACACTTTGCCCCAGCAAGAAATTTCGTCAATACATCCCTTTCTTAAGTTATTCGTTCAAGGTATTGGGCTTTGTATAATGTGCACGCCTCCTATACTATTCATAGCCTGAACGCAAAAGGGACTCATAGCTATGTCACGTGACAGGGAATCGGGCATCGCTGAGAAGATAACAAAAATGCGTGGACGTACGTATTATGTCCTTAGGGGCAATTAAGAAACGTACCGATACCTATTGTATCCCAAAGATGCGCGCATTCACCTTGTCTCCGGATATCTTGAATTAGTCTCGCCAAACCCCAGTTCTGATGAGCTTCAAATTCACCAAGTTGCTTACTGGCACAGTTACCATGTTAAAACCTTATGGAAAATCGTATGCACAATAATAATGCTGTGATATTTAGCCCAGCAATCAAAATCGGGGGAAACAGAGGTGTCCTTAATTGACCTAATTTTTACTAGTGAACGATTGTCTAGCGTGGGGGACTTGAAAATATTGAAGGAAATTCCAAACATTATTGGAAAAAAAATGGAAAGAAAACATTTTTTTGCGGGGGGGGGGGGTATTTTCGATTGAACTTATTCAAGTCTCCCACATTGGCCGACCCTTCGTCTAATTTTATGCCCAGTTTACGGACAGCCAACTGGTTTCCCTTTTTGTTTGCCAAGGCCAAAAAAAAAGTCTCCGGTTTCTGGTTTGCGCGCGCGTCGCCGTAGCCATGCGCGTCGGCAAAATGAAAACTTTTTTTTTCAATGAAAGATGATGTCTCAAAACTGCCAAACTCACTGGTTTGACTGGAATCCTGCTGCTGCACAATTTTAACGTCTTTTTAGATTGGTTTATGGTCGAGAATAAGCTTTATGTGGCCTCTCTGGACTCCCATATATTTGCACTCAGTTTAGTCAAGGACCATTTGCAGTCATCAGCCGACATTTGAAGCAAAACAATCAGGTAAAAAAAAAAAAAAAGCCGCGTCGCCGCACCACTTTTTGGGCAAGCTCCATATTAGACACCGGAGACTTTTTTTAGTTGGACTAAGCTAAATATCGCAATGCTTTCATTGTTCACGCAATTTTCCATAAGGTTTTAATAGGGAATACTGTGCTGGTAAGCAACAAGGTGAATTTAAAGCTCATCAATACTGAGGTTACTATGCCCTACTAACTACTCATTCACTTATATGCTTCAGAAAGTGTTACTTAAGTAAGGGTGAGTAAGTAAATTCTCCAAAAATAAACCTTTCAAAAAAATAAAAAAGAGAATATATACCCAAATATGGGAATAAATATATTATACGGCGGGGCTGAACAATTTATGCAAATTAGGTATAGTTTGGCCAAAACTAAGGGTGGCATCCACCTATATTTTTTTCTACATCCTTTGACTGATTGATCTGGCATGGTTGCCTGCTATAACCACAAAATGCCGTCCAAAGTGTAATATTTCACTTTGGCTGGTCTACTATTCAGATAACCCCGAGGAATATAGTTAACAAGGGGAAATACAAAAGGGTAAAACCCTTTACAGATATGTCATACCTATATAATTACGTCAAAACACATCGTTTTCATGATCATAAACACTCCTGGACGTTTGGCCCCAATATTCAATACTTGCAACGCATTTAAAAGTCTCAATCCAAAAGAAATCTTGGAAAGAATGTTGCAACCTGTCGCCACTTTGGTGATTGCGTACAAAGTTTTTGGAGGGCTAAGACACATTTCTAAGTACATGAAGTATTTTCTAAATGCAGTCCCGGAATCATGTGTTATCATCACTTTTGCAATGACTGCCCTTCATTGAGATAATAATGAAGAAAAGAGCGGCGTCAGGTTGCACCATTCTTTCCAAAATCTGTAGGCTAATAACCTACCTGGCTTGAGAGCACCTCGTTTGTTGTCTAGAAGGCGGGAGACCAGCTCATCCATCAGTTTGCTCTCATCGTTACGCTTTTGCTGATCGGACACGAAATCGAGATATGTGCACAATCAATCAACATATTGTGTAGTTTAATTTAGTCACAACATGTAGATTGGAGGAAGTTAAAACTCACGGACTAGTGTTTACAAAAATTGAGCGTACATGGAACCAAGCAACAACATGCAGTGGGATTAATTATCATCTGTCTCCGAAACCTCAGATCAGCGGCAGTTGCAAAGACAGACAAAACGGAATCTAATATACACTTTAATATGTGCAAGCAAGGTTGCACCCGCCCTACACTTTATTATCTGTATTTCTTTTGAACAGTGTGAATGCGTATACTTCCAGTGCAGGGCAAATGAAGCAGGCAAATTAAGGGAAACTTGCATGGCTTACTATCCTTTCTGGTTTACTGTATTATTGTATGTGTATTTATTGGGAATACAATTGTGTTAATGTAATTGTTAATTAATTTTAATGGTGATCCGTACTCGACAAGCAGTTGCTTTTTGGAGACTCCATCCACATTTACTTTTCATTTCGTATGATTATACATGTATTGCATAGACACCAAACAATGTGGAAGATGAACAGTGAATGAAACTTACTTCTGGAAACTCGTCGAAGGTGCGACGCTCCGGCCAGGCAAGGGCGACCTGGAAGACCAAGAGGCCTAGAAACACGAAGACGGGAACAGATCGCATCATCATCTTCATCAAGCAGTCAAGACAATCTACAGAAGGGACGAGTAGCTAACTTCACAGTGACGACTGCGTGCACCAACTGATGTACAGCACACTGTAGCTGCAGCTTATAAAACACCTTTCAATGCCAAATTGTGGTCCTTTTTTAACTTTTACACAGACACAATGGTCCGCTGTTAAGAAGTCGTGGATTTATTACGGATGACCAAATCGTTCTTCTTTGTTGATGGCTTCAAATTAAAGCCTCTTTCTTGCGCCAACTCTATTCGACGCTGGTAAAAGCATTGTGACAGGCAGACGACCTCAAGTTCCCATACAATAGCGATTTAATGCTTGTTTTTGTTACCCGTCAAAATGGAACTAGCGCAGACATCATAGATAAGAGGACATAACGTTAGCCTTCTTCTTGTTGACCTGGCCATAAAAAGGTGAAGAAAAGAATGAAGACAGTGTAACGAAATCGTCACCAACACCACGAAGTAACACCCATCTACATACAAGTAATTTAAACTAGCAATATATATTTCATGTAATATGGTATTTCACACGAAATTCTAGAAACTTGACAGGAACCGCCGAAGGATGAATGTAATATAATGTAAGGAAATTGCAGCATGAAGGACACTAGTGCACTGGACCATGGTGTGTTTATTGTTTTTCTCTATGGGCACCGCGATTGCGTGCGGAGGGACTTTCCCTCAATGAGAAATCATTTTGCGGAGAGCTCGAGTGGGCGATCAATGAGAAATTCGGACACATGTAGGAGAATGCTGTACGCTAATGTCAGGAACTCAGGAATGACAACCCTGCTTCCTGTAATTTCGGGGGACTAAAGTTCCAGGAAGTGAGTATTTATTAAGCCAAGATACATAGACCCACTTTACAGCTTCCTTTGATCGTTTTATTTGTGTAAAGTTTGCAGCCACGTGAGGTACAAAATGAAACTTTCTGCGTAGGCCACATGTACATGTGTTTAACCATGTAGTTCTATGTGTTTTTCACAGTACAGAATGTACACCACTCCATGTACATGCATTGAGACATCCTAACACTTGGGACTGACTGACCCTGGGGTAAGGTTTTATATATATTTATTATTATTTTTGAAGACGATTATTGAACTAAAAGTGTGTCTAGAACCCAGATATGATTATGAAACTGTGTATTATGTAATAAATAGGCAATACTTATTTTTTTGTTTCAGGGTTTTGTTTTGGGGTTTTTCTATTCCTACCTCTATGATTGACCAAGCATCCGATTGGTAATAAACCGTAGTGATCGAGAAGTGATGGACTGGTGTCCAGTTTCATCTGTGTTTAATCAAGGACGGACCCCAGCCCTAGAATTATAGTAGGGTAGACCACCACATTAAACGACATCATTCTTTTAAAAAGGAATGTTTTTCAAGTAAAATAAACGTTCCAAACAAAGAACCATTCGGTTGATAGTCAGTCTGCATGGTTCCAATAGCCAAAGATCATGTCTTTTAACACTGTTAGATCAGGGAACAAACATGCCGTGGTAGCAGTTAAACATTGTGTTAAATGTAGCAACTGTTTAGAAACATAAATATTGTGTGCACTTTATGTCCATTCTTATGTTTGAATTGTTCTTTATATAAGGTCTCATCCTGATCCCGGTGCAGTTGAAATGGCCACGGATGCTGAGATTGCTACGGGTGATTGCTACGGGGGCTGGTGATTGAAGACATCCCCTTGACTTGAGCACACTACTTCTAATTTTGTGTGCTGTATCACTTGTACCCGCTGTACCCCAAGCTCTATATCGTACATTACAAGCCATAACTACCCGGCTGTAGGTGCACAGAAAGTTCAGCTGCAAATCCGGTGAGCACTGTGTTTTTTTTTGTTTCACTGGCTACTTGTCACTTGATAACAATGATATGCAAATCCTCGATTTTACATGTGCATAAAAATGCATATACATGTATGTTCAACAGGTTGTCTTGTGTACACCGATGCACGCAAACAGTATTGGAATTCACAGTGTACATGTATCAACCTTGTGTTGGGTCCACTCTTCATAGAAACAGAAAACTTTGAATTGAATGCATTTTCCAATTTACAACGTTCAGACATCCTTAAAAAAAATACAAAATTGGGCATTAAGCTGTAGAATAATGCCTGACCACGCATACACACACGATACAAACTTGAAGTGTTTGTCTGCATGTCTGCACTGCATGCGTATTTGTGAGCGTGAATTTTATGATTTAATTGTCAATACTGACTTTTTGCCGATTCCCAAAACACGTAATGGAAATGTATTTCGAATTCTGTGTTGACCAGGCATGAAACAAATGACAAAACTGTTTGTGATGTACATGCATTTACATGTAAGTATTTTGATTTATTTTCGACTTGTATGGCTTTTGGGTTGCAGGTCTTCAGGATGCTGGCCCGTATCTCTGATGCGGTGCTGATGTGATCATTGCTTTATTTATCGACAGTACCCTCGCTCTGCAGATCATCACGTATGCCATGGACTATGCACCCTGCTCGATTGAATTCTGTGTGCAGCAGCTGGCCCCCTTGTTCATTCAGCGTCCCCAAATCGATCGTGATTGTTTTGACATGTCATGCACAGAAAATCTGTGTTGTTCTTGAAACAAATTGTCAAACCCTTAGACTTTTAAAGCAGCAGTTATGCTGACAAATTCTGAACTGCAAGTCTGTCTAGAATGCACGGATATACATTTATTCCAAAGACGAAAAGACACTCTTCCCATTTGGTGGCCAAAATTGTTCAAAGCTGCCTGGTATTTCAGTCTCTATCAACAATATCGTCTTCTTCATTCATTCATTTTCATGATGATTTGATGAGTTGGGCCCAACTGTCCCTGTCGAGCATAGTGTTGGAAAGAGATGGACCACTCAGACCCGTTTCTAGCTCGATGGATGTTTTCAGGGTCATGTTGGGACGACCTTTTCGTCGAGGGGCTTCAGGATTCCAGAGGAGAACTTGACTAGCTGGCTCATTATGTCGATAAACGTGACCGGCTAGCCGAAGGCGACGCTGTCTGATGGTGGTGGAGATAGGGGGAAGGGCACCATACAGAACAGAGTTAGGGAGATGTTGTTGCCAAGAAACGTTTTGTACAGCCCGCAACATCCGTGTATAGGTGCCATCAATGGATGCAGAGATCTGTTTGGTCAGGGTCCAGGACTCGCAACCGTAGAGGAGGATGGATTCTATTGAGGTCTTGAAGATGTTAAGTTTGGTGGTCTTGGAGATTGAGGATCTCCATACTTTGGTCAGTGAGAACAGAGCAGACCAAGCTTGAGCTTTTCTACACTCGATGTCATGAGCTGTGTTGGTGTAGGAGCCCAGATACCTGAAGTCATCAACTTTATCGAGCTTACTGCCATCTAGTGCAGTGACGTCATCAGAGGTAGATGGGTTGATGACCATGTACTTAGTCTTCTTTGCGTTAAGAGAGAGACCAACGGACTTGCAGCAGGCTTCTACTTTATGGAGGAGAGATTCGGCATCAAGGAGGGTGTCAGCAAACAGACTAATGTCATCTGCATAATCTAGGTCGGATAGGTATTGGGCAGGGTATCTACTACTCCTACGGCGTGCGAGGGTGAGACCATCGGTTACATTTAATGCTGTCCGCAGGGCATAATTCAGAACTATGATGAATAGGTAAGGGGCGAGAGGATCACCTTGAAGAACTCCAGCGTTGACGGAGAACGAATCTGATTCACCTTCGGGAGTGAGAACAACAGCACTTGTATCTTCATACATAATTTTGATGGCATTAATGGTCTCCTCCGGGATACCGTAAGCATGCAGGATCTTAAACTTTGTTGGTCTGTCAACAATATTTAATTGCTTGAAAATGTCCAAAGTCATTGATGAAAAACTGTGGGCTTCGGTTTGGCATACAAATCACTCTCCAGTTCTAGTATGTTATGGGTCAAACATGTTTGCATAAGTATTTGTTGATACAACTTTTGTGAGCCAAATTAAAGCATTTGACTTCTTATTTGGTGGTTTTTTTGTCCAATAAACCAGAATTGAATAGAATAGAATTGAAGTCTGTGTTCCAATTTGCTGCATGACCTCTCACACACTGCGGATGGATGCTGGTTTGAGTAATCATTCTATAATAGTTAGTACTAGCATGGAGCTATGGCTCAATGTGGTACTACATTGTAGTACTTAGCCCTTATATGCTGTAAAAAAAATCATCATGTCTTTTTAGGTCTACTTTGTCAATCGCTGTTTAATTACTTTTAAAAACGATTTGAACAGATCCACATTCTGAAGATTTACTTTAATCCCCATTTGGAATTAAGAAATCATTCATAAAATCAAACAATCACTCTTGATTTTTGCAAACGTAGGTACGCGTACAAATTAACTCACAATATGGCACAGTACATGCAGACATGTACAAAATGTACGTTGACATCGTATCGAATATCGCGCGTCAGAGATGGCTGGTTCCCGCACACGACGCGCGTATTATTAACGAAGGGCACGAAACCAGCGTTGTCACTAACATGGAAAACAAAATTTGTCCCGTACAATGCGGAGTTTTCAGGGGGTTATAGGGTCAAAAGATAAAATCTCTCACACTCAAAATCCACATGATCATGAAAGCAAGGTCAATAATTATTGAAAAACCATTGTGAAATATGGTAGTTGAGCGGATTTATGTTGTAAAATCGTTTTGTTGCTACCCTTTACAAGGCTTCGGACTATGTGAACAACTGTTTTCGCTGTCGCCAAACATCGTTTAAAAATACACTCTAACACGACTTTCAGTCAGCAGATTAAGTACTAAAGTCTGTATTAACACGTTTAAAGTCCAAAAAGTTTGGGAATGCACTAAATGAATGTCGTAGCATTAATATTTGACTGCTGAATTATGTTCGAAATCATAAAAATCATAAATGGGCGCCGCCATGTTTAGCAATGACGTCATCAACGCGTTATGAATAATACATAGCTTCTCATTGAGAAAACTATATTGATGCGTACGGCCTGGGTGCGAAACAACCGTGATTGGTCCTCGAAAAGGACAGGGCGTCAGTTTGCCACGCCAGGGGTTCCGGGGATCTGGAACAGTACACCGGGAGCTGGTTTTTGGGACACCCATCAAAGGTTATTTCTGTCTGGCTG